AGTGTTTAGTGATATCACGTAATCAGCTCATAACGGTACCATGCAGTGTGTGGTGATACCATGCAATCTGCTCATGATGATACTATGCAGTGTTTAGTGATATCTTGCAATCTGCTTGTGATAATATCATGCAGTATATGGTGATACAATGCAATCTGCTCAGGATAAGACCATGTGGTGAGTGGTGATTTCATGAAATCTTTTCATGACAAAATGCAATGTGTGGTGATATTCTGAAATGTGCTGATGATGATGGCATGAAGTTAGTGGTTCTTCTTCTTCTTCTTCGATCCTTCTGTCAGAAAACTTATATCAGGAGGCCGGAAGCCTTTATGAAAGCTATCGTGCAATCCATATCCTCTCGTGTACCTTACAGTTTTGTCTTCATTGTGGTTGGAACAGGCCAGATTGCGTCTCTGTTGTCAGCATACAGTTGACAGTGTTGGAGCACATGCTCAGCATTTTCGGGTGCCACGCTGCAGGGACACGTCTCCGTATTTCCTACACCGAAAAATTTGAACATATGTTGACGAAATCTGTTGTGCCCTGTCCTTAGTCTGAATATAATAGACTGTCCCTCTCTAGAGAGGCGATGAAGTGAGACTTGGGGAGAAAATCTTTTGTGGGTATCCAGCCACCTTTCTTGGATACTAGATTGTATTAGTGTTTTCATCTCTTGGTGGGTTAAGTCGCTATTTGGTTGTACCATGTCACTGCCGCTTCTGGCCAATCTGTCCGCTATTTCATTGCCTTCCAAGCCACAGTGACCTGGAATCCACTGCAGTACAGTAGTTAGTGGTGATATGCAATGTGTCCATGATGATACCATGTAGTGAGTGGCGACATAATGAATTGTGCTTATGGTGATACCATGTAGTAAGTGGCAACATAACGAATTGTGCTCATGGTGATACCATGTAGTGAGTGGCAACATAACGAAATGTGCTCATGATGATACCATGTAGTGAGTGGCGACATAACGAAATGTGCTCATGATGATACCATGTAGTGAGTGGTGACATAACAAAATGTGCTCATGATGATACCATGTAGTGAGTGGCGACATAACGAAATGTGCTCATGATGATACCATGTAGTGAGTGGCGACATAACGAAATGTGCTCATGATGATACCATGTAGTGAGTGGCGACATAACGAATTGTTTATGGTTATACCATGTAGTGAGTGGTGACATAACAAATTGTGCTCATGGTGATACCATACAGTGAGTGGTGACATAATGAATAATGAATTGTGCTTCTGGTGATACTATGTAGTGAGTTGCGACATAACAAATTGTGCCCATGATGATACCATGTAGTGAGTGGTGACATAACGAATTGTGCTCATAATGATACCATGTAGCGAGTAGTGACATAACAAATTGTGCTCATGATGATACCATGTAGTGAGTGGTGACATAACAAAATGTGCTCATGATGATACCATGTAGTGAGTTGCGACATAACGAATTGTGCTCATGGTGATACCATACAGTGAGTGGTGACATAATGAATAATGAATTGTGCTCATGGTGATACCATGTAGTGAGTTGCAACATAACAAATTGTGCCCATGATGATACCATGTAGTGAGTGGTGACATAACGAACTGGAGTGAGATGGTGGAGAAAAGAGTTACTTGGCTTGAGTTGATTAGGACCTGTATGCTGTAGAGCGATAAAGAACAGAAGAGGAGAGAAAAATCAGCACTTATTTACCAAGGTTTAATCCTCCATCCTTTGGCATGTCCTTATCAGGCCTATCAAGCGCAGCAATTATGGCCTCATTAGCTGCATCTAGCTCTGCCACATAGTCTTCAGGCAAGTTCATGTCTTCACGTGGGTTGATGATGTGGACAACAAATATGTGGCCATCTTTCTTTACTGCAGATCTGACAGTAGTAGAACCTATCAATGATGATAGGGACAAAATGATAACAATAGTTTAGCAAAGATGGGAGTAGCAAAACAATAACCTCATACATTTCTAGGGTATAAAGTTGATAAAATAAAATTTATAAAAGACAATTATAACAAGTTATGGAAGCAATAAAAATATTATTAATAATAATTTACAGTGTGGCACCTTTCTACACCAGTAGGGAGTTCCCAGGTTTGCCCAGTTAGCCTTCTGGTGAAAACTAAGTTGTATGCATCAGGGGAAGACATGCGTCCGACCCCAGCATTTATGAAGGCATGTGACCTTCTCTGAAAAATGCATGGAGAACGAAAAGAAAAAGGAGATACCTACCATAACAATTTTTTTCTAAAATACAGAATTCCAGAACTACAGAGTTAGAAATCTCATTTGTTTTACTGATAAAAGTGTCTCATATAATACATTAAAGGTAGATACAGACATATGAGATGAGATGTATAAGAAATGTGGCAAGAAAAACAAGAAGAAACAGAATCACTAACAATGAATGAAGAATAATGGTAGGCACAGTACTGATAAATAATTTCACAGAACATCAAAAAATCACATGGTTTGGTCGTCTGATCAGAACAGAACAAAGTCAGCCCGCAGCTAGAGTGTACCCCATGGGAACAGCAGGCTACAGGTAGGAGGCCTACTAAGAAAGAGATGGATGGATGGAGTAAAAGAGACACTTTAGAAATGTGTTGTGACATTAACCCAAGCTAGCAACAAGCAAAAGTCAGGAAACTATATCTAAATTCTCTCTGCAATGCTTCACAGCATAAGAAGTAGGACAAACAAGAAGAAGAACAGACCACCAAGATTACCTTGTATTACTTCCATTCTTTCTGTCTGTATAATGCCTCCATCACTGGGAAACAGTGTAGAAGTAGCCCCAAGCAAATGTAGAAGCTGGTTTCCAGTGTCATAACCAAAGAACTGAAAACAATTCATGAGTTCTTAATTTAGCATTGTTGTCTGTTAGCTCTGTGTTCACAGTTCAATCCCTCATTGAGGTGCATTTTTACTGTGTACCTGGTGTATCAGCTCTTCTTATTATTGTCCATGCTCTTGCCCATGTGGCTTCCTGGATGGCATTTTAGGGGAAAGAAGAACAGACCCACTGTGCCCTAAATTCTTCTTCTGTTTTGTCCTACTGCTAATGTTGTAAAGCAAACTTTGTTTGCCCAGTATTTACATTTTTACAGTAAGCTCTCTTGATCTTTCATGATGGTTAACCTTCCCCCTCCCACCAGACACTCAAACAGTTAACTTAGCTTTAAATCCAGATATTCCTTGTGTGGGTTCTGGGGCTAGATTTTATAGTGAAGAAGAATAGATCCCCTGCCCCTTCTAACGAGCATGTCATAAAAGGCGACTAACTAGTGGTTTGCTGAAATCAGATGTGTTGGGCTTAAGGGTGCAGATATCAGTGCCTAGCTGTAGAATCCCAATGCAATTTACCCACCTCCCTTTTAAGGATGAATGCAGAAGAGAAGAAGAAGAAGCAGAAGCTGCAGCAGCAGCAGAAGAAGAAGAAAAGAAGGAGAAGGATGAAGAGGAGGACAAGGAAGAAGAAGCCCAAACATCTCAAATGGAAACAACAAAAAGTACACTATGTATTATGCTACCACAGTTCTGACGAAATAGTGTGCTATTAAAAGCTGATTCAAATCAGCTGAGATCAGTGTGACTTATTTTATCAACCCAGTCATGCACTTGTATCAACCAGCTATAAGAAAAATAAGATGGCAATGCTGGGCCTATCATGGGGAGAAGCAGACAGAGGATCATGAAACAAACCATCAAATGGGGATGAAATGGACTGAGGAAGTAAGAACGTCCAAGAGTAACCTCAGACAAATGTTGCCTCTACATTTTGCCTCTTTCTCAAATGGAAACAACAAAAGTACACTATGTATTATGCTACCACAGTTCTGACGAAATAGTGTGCTATTAAAAGCTGATTCAAATCAGCTGAGATCAGTGTGACTTATTTTATCAACCCAGTCATGCACTTGTATCAACCAGCTATAAGAAAAATAAGATGGCAATGCTGGGCCTATCATGGGGAGAAGCAGACAGAGGATCATGAAACAAACCATCAAATGGGGATGAAATGGACTGAGGAAGTAAGAACGTCCAAGAGTAACCTCAGACAAATGTTGCTGGGACAGCCAAAGAATTCAATCCATGGTTAAGAAAGGGTTGCACTGGATAGTATGGAATGGACAACTACCCCTATGCGATGTTTCACAGGATGATGATGATGAATCATGTAGATAAGTTTACTGGGTTTTTTTCCCCTATTTAATAAGAAATGACAGGAGACCGAAAACATTGAAAGTACAGAATTAGAAGCAAAAAGTGTATCACAGGTGTATCAAGATTAACTAAGACAAAAGAATTCAACTCTTTAATAGGACTTCATATGCTTGAGTCCAGACATGTAATCAACAGGGGCAGGGCATTGTGTTATTTATCATACACCAAATATATACTGCGGAAGCTTTATTAATTTAAAAAAAAATATCAATCCCCTTTATGCAAGCAGAAGGAATTCCTGGTAAGTTAAAATGTTAAAAAATTGAATGCTGAATTCAGAATCAACATCACAGCACTTAAGACACCCCAATAAGCAGTCTGTCCCACTCTTCAGCAGTGAGTGAAGAGTTTCAATTCCGATGGTACCAGTAACTGTCTGACTGTACATCCATCTCGTCTTTTCCTTGAGTTTTGTGCGTCGTCCAGATCAACTGGCCGTGCGGTTACAACATCATGCTCTCGTGCAGGAGACTCAGGTTCGACCCCCGGTAAGGTGATGGAGTTTTTCTATGGGGGCAAAATTAAACATCCTAACCTGCACAGTCCATGGCAACAGCACTAGCCAGGCATCGCTAAATCCTCAGGCTTAAGGCCCCTATCCTATCTACACTGCCTTAAAAAGTGGTAAAACAGATAGTAGTGACAGAAATGAGATGAGAAGGACATGGAGTGAGCTGCACAAGATGTGGTCTGGTGGGAGTTGGTTGAGGGTCTATGCTCCACCAAGGAACAAGAGGCAGAAGAATACCTACTGGTAAGGTGTACTCCTCCTCAACAGGCTGATTTTCCACATTAAAGGCTGTCTGTGAGGTGTCTACTAGATCAGACATTGTTTCAGAATTCCGCTTACTTTGGCCCATCTTAATTGAACTTTTTCTTGTTTTGTCTGTTTTTTCTTTCTCTTTCTCTTGCTGTAGAGAAATCATATTGTATAGTACAGACAATAGTTATTCTTTAAATGTTAACCTGAATAGTTACATAGTAAAATTATATAGAAAAGATACATTGTGTAGTATACATACACAATACTTACAAAAAAGATGTTAAAAGTAATTGTTACACTCAAAAGTTGAAACTGTAGTATAAACAATACTTGTTCTATTAATGTTAAAAGTAACAGTCAGCATAGTAACATGTGCTAATTTTTATGCTATAATGTAATTTTACAGGTATTGTGCCAGGTTCCTTTTTTATATATTCAACAGTTTACATTTTCAGTTTTAAAAAATTCTGCCAGTGTCATTTACTCTTTACTTTTTTTTTTTTCTTCCTTGAGTCCCAGCCATTTCTTTCTTACTATAGTTTGACAGTGGCTTTCCTAGTGGCCACTGCCACTACATTTTGCCTCTTTTAATTATTTCTTTTATAAGCAAACACAAAATGTCCAATAGGTGCAACTGCCTGTTCTTTACTTGCGTTACTTGTGTCATATGGGTGTTGTACTCTGTATTACCCCCTGTGTATACTCTGGGTGTACAGAGTACTTATTTATATTAGTTTATACAATGTCTATGTTTGGACATCGATACTCCTTAGTATCTATAAACAACCAAGTATGTAGGGCTAGGGTGCCTACTATAATATGCCGCTCTATCTCTCCTTGATGGATGTGCTACAGTCCTGCATACTATAACGCCTGGTAAACTTGGCACAGCACCAGCAAATACAGTTGTAACTATACTGACGAGTCAAAAATAACGCTTGTGACAGGCCACATAAACTTTAATGTCATTCACAGTACACGTCACAAGATGATGATGATTATTATATGTGTGATAATAAATCTCTATTATCTACAAGACGATATAAAAGATTACAATCTTCACTTAATGGGCTTCTGCCATTATAAACTAAATAGACATCACAATGTCTCCCGCAAACAGCAGCAAATCAAAAACCTCACAAAGAGAAAACATTTCTATTATTATCCTCTTAAAGAGAAAAACAGCCAACACAATGTTTCCGCTAACCCGCGAAAACCACGTCCGACTTGGACAATGGAAAAATCTCAACTGCTTGTCCCTTTGTCTTCTATCCCCAGAATTCAATTAGGTCGTATAATTACTAGGGCTGTACAGAATAGTGATTTTCACTATTCGGCCGAATACGAATAGCTGGACCAACTATTCGGCCTAATACGAATATGAATACGAATAGTGAATCATCATCATCAGGTGCTTTGCCTACTGGCATGGGCGATTATGCCTTGCCACAATCTGCGATCTCCTGCAGCATGTATTAGTTTGTGTGCTGACACACCTCTATGCCATGCAACAAGATTGTCAAGAATCATCTATCTTTGTCTTTCTCTATCCCTTCTTCCACAGATCTTTCCAGTGGTCACCAAATGTTCCATTTTCCCTCTGCTAATAACATGGCCGAAAAATGATGACTGTCTCCTTCTGATGTCTGTGATTAGTTGTCTTCGGGCTCCCGCCTCTTTTAAAACCTCTTGGTTGCTTTTTTCTGGCTTTCCAAGGTATTTTAAGCATTGTTCTGTAAAACCACATCTATGAGGCCTCAAGAAATTGTTTGGCCTGCCTACCAATTGTCCAGGACTCACACCCATATGTTAAAACTGGATGTATGTAGCAAGCAAGAAAGCATTAGCTTTCAAAAAAAAAAAATATTTCCATGTTGTCAGCTTTAAGGCAGCTTCTTGTCTCACTGAAGGTATTTCCAGCTGTACTAAACAGACATTGTTCACGCTCGTATGTGGTGCACAAAGTAACACTTGAAAGTATGAACCAAGGTGGGATATCTTGATATGTTTATTTCCCACTAGTCCAGAAACGGGTGTAAGGTAACCACTATTCGTATTCGGCCCGACTGCAACTATTCGGCCAAATACCGAATAGTTATTAGGTCCACTATTCGGCCCCGAAGCGAATCTTCGGTACAGCCCTAATAATTACCTTCGCCTAGGTAACGACTGGTGGCCGCCGTGTGACCTTCACCTGTGCTGTTCCTGCTAGATGACATTTAAACCCTTGGCCAAATAAGAGATGGGGTAGACAATGGGGTAGATTCGTGGGAACAAAATTCCAGAGACCAGGCTGTTTGGCAAATCAGGAAGGGAATGCCCTCTGGGAGGGAGTGGACAGTGCAGAGGCACCAAGAGATCATTATGGTCTGAGGAGAATGTGGCACTGCGGGAAGTTACCAGGGGGATCTGGTTAATGCTCAACACTCAAGGGAAAGGCGAGACAGATGTACAATCAGACAGTTACTGGTGCCATGGGAATAGAAACTCTTCACTTGCTGCTGAAGATGGGGATGGAGCGTTTATGTGAGTGTCCAGAGTACTGTGACATTGATTCTTAATTTAACATTCAACCAGGAAGGGAATAAGAATGAAGAAATTTTTGCAAAATGGATGGGAGACTAACGTCTGAGAAGAAATGCACTAAATACAAATGATGGCAATTAGAGTCCTGAAATCTGATTCTGTAACTGTGAAAGACTTTTGTTAATGCAGAAAGGGGAGGGGAGATGCTGTGAGTCCCATGCCTGCTCACAACACAATATAACACTATCATCTGAAAAGATAGAAAGATACCGACTCACATCTAACATGTGTCATACGTGAATGAACCTCTGCTGGTTAGGCACACAACTAGCGGGGAAACAATCTTCACTGTTCAAACCTGGATGGAGATTGTGACAGGCTTCACCAAACAGCTAAGTCGTTTTAGTTATTCATTTGTGCGGTTCTTTCGCTGTCTGTCTGGAGCATGCAATACTCAGATTCTGGAACAAGACTAAAGTTCAGAGGTCGAAGAACAACCTTAACAGCCAGTGAATGCGAAGAAAAAGAAGTATTCAACTGGAAGCTGTTCTTCCTGTTAAAAATGATTTTTAAATGATCAGTCGCAGCATTCTAAATAGAGAAATCAGTTAACATCTTTTAATCAAAGATTAAATAACCCCTGTTTTCGTCACAATAAAAGTTGCATCAGAATGGGGTTAGCGGCAGCTCTGGATTTCATTAGAAGCCTACAGATGAAATAGGTAGGCCACATAACACGGATGTCAGCAAACAGTATATCACAGCAAAGCAGTAATGTACAGACCAGGTTGGAAGTGAAGAAGGGGTTGATCATGGAAACGACAGACAGAGAGAATATCAAAGTTCCTGAGAGTCCCCATTTATGAAGCACACCAACTGGCACTTTCCCACAAATTGTACAACACCTCGACACCACAAGGTGTCAGAGGTTTAAGATGAGATGAGGCAAAACATTAATAAACTGTTACTTTGAAATGACTATATTTTCCCTTTACTGATATAATCAATGTACCTTTTCCTTAAGCTTTTGAGCTGATCTGCTCAATCTTTCAGCTTTACTCCTTTCTTTTTCTTCTTCTTCATTGGCCTGTTTCATTTGTTCTGCTTGATATGCTTTGAGAGAACCTTGACGGACGTATGGGTTACCGAGGCTGGTACTTTGTACTTCCAGACTAGATGTTGATGATAATCCTGGAGATCTGATTTTACCAGCTGTACAGGAAATGTGAAAAGTAACTTTAACATAAGTTCAGCGTTCAGCCTTGTGACAAAAACATACATATGATAACAGTGACGCAAAATTGGTTTGCAGTAGCACAGTAGTTAAATGCCTGCTTTCCTCATCTGGGTTCCAGAGGGGGAAAAAAGGACAGATTCAGTGCCTCCCTAACAAGCATGTTGTACAAGGAAAATAATTAGAACAGCTTCCTTCAAGTTAGAGTGCATCTGCCTGAAAAAAGATAAACCAACAGACTGCATTTAAATACGCCAGATCTGTAAAATGGATGTGCATGCAAAACTCACATTTTGGAACAGGGCGACCAACTGGAATTTTCAACCAGTTTACAGTCAGTTAATGCTAAGAAGAAAGATGCTTGCTTGTGGACTGAAAGATCTGACGTTTAAAATCTGTGGGGACGCAGATTGTGACCGACCAAGAGCTCCTAGGTCAATCAAGTCTAAAAAAAAAAAAGGCATCAGGTAGTCACACACCTCTGTTTTAGAGAATTTGGACTATGCAGATGACATAAGCCTTATATCAAGCGGTCATGTGGACGCTTAGGAAAAGATTGAAAGACTTTCAACAGCTGCCCTTAAGATAGGACTCAAAATAAACACCAGTAAAACTAAAGTACTGAGAAATAATTTCAAAACAGAAAATCCAATTATCTTAAATGATGAAACAATAGAGGAAGTTGAAGAATTTAGATTCCTCAGAAGTAAAGTTACTTCAGATGGGGATTCTGAAAAGGATGTAACATCAAGAATAAAAAAAAACAAATCAAGCATTTGCCTAGCTTAACAATATATGAAAGTCAAAGGAATTAAGTTTGAAGATAAAAATCAGAATATACAAGAGCAACACTTTAGGAAGACTATTAAACAACGGCACTACACATACAGCTGAATGGTTCTGCTCTGAATCAAGTTAGGGAGTTTAAATATCTAGGAAGTATGATCACAGAAGATGGTATAATTGACAGAGAAATAGAAACCAGATGCCAGAAAGCAAGTGCACTTATATACAAATTGTCACCATTATTAAGACATCCAAGCATAACTATGAGTGCTAAGAGACAGATTATTAATAGCATATTCATTCCAACATTAAGCTACCAAAACATGGACATTATCTAAAGCCCATATATGCAAAATCACCACCTGCGAGATGAGGTGCCTGAGAAAAGCAGCCAACCTAACCATCCGAGATTGTGAATAATAAAACTATCAGGCAAATTGTAGGAATGACACCTTGTACTAGATTCATCGAGAAACAGCAGATTAAGTGGTTTGGCCATCTTTTTAGAATGCCGCAAGATCAAATACCATCACAAGCACTACATCTCAGAAGATCAGCTACAAGAGCAAGAGGACGGCCGCGGAAAACATGGATCAACAACATTAAAGACACTCTACGCCTTCACGGCATGACAATAGCCAGTGGCAGCCAACGTGCACTGGATCGCAAATTATTCCTCCCCACGACGCTAAACGGCAGAAGTGGTTTATGATGATGATGATAATTATACAACGGTGGATGTTGGAAAATGACAGCGGGAATTATAGTCATAAACTTGAGACTTTTCACAAAAAAATGTTTAAGGAGAATTCTACAAATATTTTGGCCAAACAAGATCACAAATGAAGAACTGAGAAGGTAAAGAGAATGTGCCTCACTGGCAAATTTTATCAAAGTAAGACGATGGAGATTGCTTGGACATGTTTGCAGAATGCCTTGTGACACTCTGGCAAAAACAGCTCTCCAGTGGACAGCAGATGGGAAAAGGAGACGTGGACGACCTAAGGAAACCGGCAGAAGGACGGTAGAACGGAAAATGAAGGAATGTAAACTGATATGGGATACCATGGACAGAAAAGCAGCAGACCGGCAGAATGAAGATCACTTGTGAATGTCTTATGTGTCAACAGCGACATGAAGAGGATATAGATATACAGAAGAGCTCCTGCGTCAATCAAGTCTAAAATTGGTATCAGGAAATGTTCTGTGAAGTAATGGTGCCAGCAGAGGGTTGGCCACATCCTCTACTAAATACTGACTGGTCCATACAAATGTGGGACTAGTAATACATGTCTAATGCACCTAATATAGGACAAGGGTCCTTTACAGACCAAACAAAACAAAATATACGACACCGCACAAAAGAGTGAGCATGCTGCAGAACTGCTGAAGGAGTAAGAGGATAAAAAAAGAGAGAAGAAGAAAAAGAAGAAGAGGAGAAGTCAGGGGAGAAGGAAGAAAAAAGAGGGGGGAAGAGGAAAGAGAGGAAGAGAAGGAAAACAAGAACAAAATAAGAAAGACAAAATAAGATAGACAAAGCAAAGAAAGAAGAAAAAAAGATCTTCATGTCATAAATGTCACTAACTGTGGAAATATATATATATATATACATCTACATTTTACAGGAATAATTTCACAACAACATATTCTTTCTTCAGCCAGAAAAATGATAATAATTACAAAAAGAAAATAATAGCTAGTAGCTTGGTAGTTGACTTACATCTTTGTGGTGACCTCTTTCCTTTCTTTTCAGCCTTTTCAAGGGTCTTCTGTTTCTCCTCTTCGTCCTTTTGTAAACTAGCAGTTTCTCTGGATAGTCGAGCTGCCTTGTATTCTGTTTCTTTCATTTTGAGCCAGGTTTGAATAGATTCTACTGTATTCTCCTGGTAGTTTCTGAGTGTAAAGAGTAAGGCATTTGGTTGTTTCATTATTTTAGTATGGATTCATATTAACTCTTTCAGCCTTAACCCTTTCACCACAAGAAGCCACAAATCCGACATTTCTGGTTTAGTTCAATCACCACTAAATTTCACTTTATTCTTCTCTTCTTTGTGTAAACTCAGGCGGAAAGTTCTGGTTGTCTGCCCACTTCTGGACTTTGGTCTTGTTTCAGAACTTGAGTTTTAAATGCACATCCATTTACTAACCCTAGGTTATTTGTATGCAGACTATGGGTTCCTTGCCTTGCAGGCAGGTGCACTCCGACTTTAAAGCAAATCTCTAATGAGTCAACACGTACAACATGCTTGTTAAGAAGTCAATGTTTCTACTCCCCCCTCCTCCCCGCCAATGAGGCCAGAGAACTCCCATGGAAATGCTATATTTTATGCTTTTAACCAGGTTTTTGAACAAGCTTAATAGTCAACATGTGTGACATGGAACACCGATGGCCGGTTGGCCACCTAGGTAGTAACCGATCAGGCATGATTTATTTCTTGAGACTTAGAGGGCTAAGCAAGTGAAGAAGTGTTTGCTCTATTTTTGTAAACAAAATGTTTTAGACATAAGTAAACAATGGGCTTTTATTTGCTTATTTATTATCTTACCTAAAACCTGTATTTGAGTGTAATTCACTGTGCCAGTTGGAATTATTTTGTCTCTCTCTGTTGTAGGGATTGTGTAGAACAAGCATAACGGCTTCCTCTCTGTTTGCGTGGTATACTTCAATATAAGGAAGATAATAAGTAGCTTCTTGAAGAACCTATTATAGATTAATTTTTAAGCTATTAGATTGTTTTCAATAATATATATATAACACAATACAATATGATATCATGGACAAAAAATAGAAAACTGACATTTTAACAAATCTAAACATCTACAAAGATTGGCTAATAAACAGCATCTTGTCTCATAAGCTGAGATATTTTGGACACATCAAGCGCCATGGCAGACTGGAAAAAAATAATAGCAGACGGCATGGTACCAGGAAGGAAGGGGAGGGGCCTATTTTCAGAGGCAAAAGCTTGCCACGACTAAAAACAGTAAGCCCACTTATCTGCCATATTGACCGGAAGTCCAGCACCTTGTATTCAATGTGCCAGTAGTATGAAAATGGTAATTTTTATATTTAAAAACTTTGCATTAATTCATAAATCCACCTGGTCCTTGAAAAGATTAAGACAACATTCATTACACCAAAGTAATCAAACTGAGTTGTGGGATTGAAACAGCTTTAGTTTAAAAAAAACCTGTCTGAGACTGCTAGAGCGAACTCTTTCAATCCCAGAAAGATCTTGTATCATTGGTTCAGTGGGGAAAAATAATCACCATCAATAATAAAAAATTATGGCTTTTTAAAAAGGAGACAGGTACTGGAGAAGTGGCCATAGGGTGTTCAAACATATTTAGCATCTTCTGACTAAATGTTAAAAAAAAATTTTTTTCAAAGCAGGCAAAGAAAACAGAGTATACAGTGACTTAGATTTTTGGGTAAAGTCAGTTGTAAACCGTCCCTGTGTCAGTTCCTGGGCTATATTCTGGGGGAAAAAAATGGAAGAGGGGGATGGGTGAAAACAGACCACTGCTTCCTATAAAGACTAATTAAGAGTTTGTTTAAATCTGATGTGTTGAGCCAAAATGCACAAACATTGCAGTATAGCTGTAAACCACAACATAAAGGGCCAAGTGCTTTTTAAAGGGTTAATGTAGAAAAAGAAGACAATTTTGTTTTACTTCATAAATCCGTTTGCTCCTAAAAATATTAAGACAAAGTTGTATGTAACACCAAACTACAAAAAGTTAGGTTTGAGGTTTTGAACAACAGATCAACATCTTGGCACACATGTATTAACCCATAAGTGCTTCGTTCTTCTTCTACCTTAAGTGTGAGTCCAAAGAAGCTCAACACAGTGCACAGGCTCTGTAGCACCAGCGAGGATCCTGAAATACTTTGGGTAGATTTTTAACTCAAAATTTTGCCCAGGCAGTGACGTTAGGCTACTCTTTTCGATGTTTTACGTGTGCAGCAATACACAGGGGCGTCCAATCTCACTACCCAGAGACAAAGGGAAGTTACTAGAAGTCCAAGTCCACATAAAAGATCCCAGCCCTTACCAAGGGTTGAACCAAGAACCTCTAACACTCAAGGAAGACACCATGCCTCAAGACCACGCAGACCTCCCATACAAAAAGTTAGTTTAGGGGCTATGCTTCATCGAAGAATATAAGGCAGAAAGATAAAACTTTACAAACTTTGGTAGATAAAGTGCTTTAGTAAAAACTGATAATCAGGTCAATGCAGTTCCAACTTCATGGCAGATGGGTCACCCCCATTGTTGCTCCTTTCCTGCAGCAACAAAAACCACATAGAATGTACATCACTGTTGCTTGTGAAAAAAAAAAGGGACGTAGACTATAGTCTTAGCAAAGCTAATAGCATAATCATATATTAAATGCATAAGACAGCCACCAGAAGTGCCAACACAAACATTGTGACACTAGAAATACAGTACATCCTAGATGGAAGCAGTAGTTACAACAGATCAGTACGCAATTTATTTCAGAAGACACCAGCCATTATCTCTGCCAACAGGACATTAGCCATTTTCTGAATCTACAGTTCACAACATAAGCCATGCGGGGGACCGTAAAAATGAGCATTCCAAATGAAATCTACATCTCACAGTGCTGTGCCATGCACTCAACTTAGTAGCTGGGCGATGGAACTATATTTTTTCAGTATATATATGGAGGACAGCACAATCACCAACTATTGTCGGAAGCACAAACATGATACGACTAAAAACAGTAAACCTGCAAATTCACCCTAATGACTGGAATGGTGAGTGAAAACTTTTTCACTTTACCCTTTTAGTCTTAGAAAGATCTTGCTCCACATGCTCAAAGAGCAAAATAATCACTATGAACAGCCCTGAAAGTGAGGCTTTCGTCCTCTTCTGCGTTAACCCTTAAAATGGTACTTGTCATACTGCGCTATGGTTTACAGCTAAACTGACATCTGCACATTTCAGCCTAACACATCCAATTTCATAAAATCCCTAATAGTCTCTTTTTATAATATGCTTGCTAGAGGAAAGTGTATCTATTCTTTTTTGTTTTCTTCAAAAAATAGGGCCCTGGAACTCACACATGCAGAATGGCTTTAATAAGTGTACAGGGAAAGTGGCATGGGAAAGCCAAAATTCTTTAGCATGACCAAATCAAAGATAAGAGAATACAGTATACAGTGATTGGGTTTCATTAGAAAGAGTCAGTTACCTGCCATACATTTTATGGAACTGAAAGAGTTAATAGACAGCTCACCTGCAAAAAAATATCTGGTTTATAGTGCTCAGCAAAACACCAGCTGTTCAGATTTCTCTGTTGGGTATCTGAAATCTCTGTCATGCTTTCACAAACGTCTTTAAGGCAAATTACATCTGGGCACAAATCTTCTAAACTCTTTTGGTGTTGAGGGAACATCAAAACGGACTGCAAAAATTAAAATCATTGAATGTCAACAAACATTGCAGAAAATGGGTAGAATGTAAATGTGCAGGACAAAGGTCAGGGGAGGAGATGGGCCTTCCTGGCTGATAGGATAATTGGCAACAACAAAAAATGACAGCCAGACACCATTATACTTCTAAGCTTAAACCCCAAGTCTGAAGACGTTTTCCAGTCCCTAAATAGGAGACAGACCCAATAGCACCATCCTCAAACTGAGAGTTCTAGTGGACAAGCTGGCAGTAGCTGTGCACGTGCCAGACATGCAGAAAAAGATAGGCAGAATCTAAAGAAGTTGCACAAAACAAAATAGACTGAGTCTCAAATTTAGACCTGTCTCAAGATTTTCTTTGTACTTGACTTAAAGGTATGTGCTATTCTTGTTCGTAAGACTTATTTTCACCATCCAAACATCGCTCTATTAAACTAAAAAAATCCATTAATCAACCAGTGCCAAGTACTGCCATCCTTTGCTGTAGCATCCAGCTCACCATTTTGCATTGCAGTTTGTCCCCTCCAGGATTGCAGATCAGAGAATTAACACCTCAAGGATGAGAATCCTACATGTACAAATCCCAGTAAGCCCCATTTAACTGTAAGGTTATACTGGGGGCCCCACGGTTACAAAGTAACTTGAAGTCTGTTTGTATAGAACAGTGGAAGCTCCCCTCCCATTTTATTAATCATTTCTGTGCCTCTGTGGGTTCCAGTGTAAAGAATGTTAAAAAGGATGAACATCAAAATTTTTAAATTTGTTTATGCATGCCCATAGTTGGTAATGACTATTTACAAAAAAATCGGTTTATTGATTTGCCTTAGTGTTATTTTGTCCAAATACAACTCACTAAAACATAAAAAAGTTTTAACCCATACCCTGCCACTTATTTTGCTTATATATTCTATAACACACATACAAACAATTTATCAAAATGATTTGTACATGCACATCCATCGACAGATCTGGCTTATGTGTATACAGACTGTTGATTCCTTGCCTCTCAAACAGACCACTCCAACCTCAAAGAAAACCCCTAATTAGTCAATTCTAATGGGATGCCCGAAACCCACAGGGACAGGTTGTAATCTGTAAATGGCTATTTAATTTTGCACACATACAAACAAATTAGTCTTACCAGAGTTAGAGTTAGAAAAGCGTATACTTCCAATCTGACTTTCTGCAGAATTGAGGATAATCCCTTTCCTGTGTTCTCCAGCAATACTTTCAGAAGGCACCACAATATCAATTCTTGTAGCAGGTTTCTCATCTGCCACAATGCATGAATCTGGTAAGACAAGAGGGGAAACAGATTACTCAGACAGAATATAGGAATAAAACTCCATGAATGAAAAAATTGGTTGCATTTGTTATTCACAGTCATGATTTACAAGATCATAATTTCATCATCATCATCATGCAGGTCAAAGCAGACTGCTACTCTCCTCATGCATTATTTTAAAAGAAAACTGCCACTACTGCCTCTGTTTACCACTTTTGTGAAGGCAGGGAGTCTTTAAGCCTGAGCAGTTAGTGCTGTGGCCACAGACTGTGCCAGTTAGGATATCATTTTTTGCTCCTGACACAAAAACAATCAACAGCCTTACTGAAGATTTAAACCTGGGTGTTCCTCATAAAAGCCCAGCATTCTTAATCATTCAGCTGAATTCTCTCCCCCCCCCAACTTTCATTATGGCTTACTGTAAAACCACTCCATCCCAAATCAACATTCCCGCATCAAGAACTATTAGGCCCAGGGTGTTCTTGATATTCTGTGTTCACTGTCATACTGGTTGTTCCCCGCTTCGACTTTATGGAAAAATGCCCTCCATTACTGTTTTCCCCTAACCATTATGCCATTTAAACCGGCACAAAGTTTTCCGGTTTGTAAGTAATGACACTGTTTATCAGCCAGTTCTCTTTGACACTGAGATGATTAACTCATTCAGTCCTATGTGGTTGCCACTTTACCCATTTCTATCACAAAATGTATTTACTTTAGAGCAACAACTTTCGCATCTAAGGTGATGTTAAAAAAAAAAAGATCAAGATTAGGCTCAGAAGAAGGTAAGAGTTAGTGGGATGACTTAAAATATCACAAGAATGGGGCAAAAGGACCTAACACATGTGTACCGATGCAGGGTAACCACTGACCCCACTGTATTCTATGGTTTAAAGAGAGTGATAATGGGCAATAGGCATGTTCACTGTTGTCAGTTATGGAAAATTTTTGCTTCTGAAAGATGATGTCTGCTGCATTTTCCTCCATTGTAGATTTAAAGGATATACTTTTGTCACCCAGCTAAAAGGATATGGGTTTGTCACCCAGCTACTGAGTTGTGTGCATGGTGTGACACTGTAAGCTGCAGATTTTTTTTCGAATGTTTTTAGACTGTGACCAATATGGTGTTGTGAAACGTAGATTCAGGAAATGTCAAGTAGCCTGTTGCCTAGAATTGGTGGTGCCTTATGTGATTAAAATTGATCACATGTGCAACTGCTGATCTGTTTGTAACTTTTTCACAAAGAGGTCTTTCTGAAATGCTTTTAGTAATCATGTGCCCACATGGGACTACGAGAGTAGCTTTTTTTTAGGGGGCGGGGAGAAGGAGGAAGCAGAAACAAACATTTAGTGTATTGGTTAGCTGTTATTTTTTCCACAATCAAATTATTTGAAAACAAAAGACAAGAATGGTTTTTGCAGCACTATGAAATCTGTGGATATTTAAGAAAATTAAATTTAAAATATTTAACTTTATCTTGAAATTAGCAACTGTGCATCGAACAGAAACACAGAGAATGAGTTGAGTTGATTCAAGAATCAACATCACAGCACTGGGGGCATTCACATAAGCGATCTATCTCCATAGTCAGAAGCCAGTGCAGAGTTCCAATATCAATGACCCCAGTAGCAGTCTGATTATATGTCTGTCTTCCCGTTCCTCTGAGTGCCGATTATCGGCCGGATCCCCTCATCACTGCCGCTGTATCTCTCTCACCAGACTGTTGTGATTCATTTGCTCCACCTAATTGTACACATTCTCCCATAAGGCCTTGACCACCTCTACCCAATCATGCATCAGCAAAAAGTTAAAAGGCAATGTAAAGTCAGGAGATGTGAACTAGCCTCTCTCTGCACAGGGTTATAAACCATAAGTGCTCTGCCATCAGTACGGACAGCTGATAAGAAACTGTCGGCATGTGTCGTCATCCCCACGCAACTCCATTTACCCCAGAGTGTTAACTCTGCTACCCATTACCTAAAGGTTGGGTAAACCCCTGGAACCGCACGGTTTCGAACACCGGCCATGGGCTGCAGCAAGTTGCAGCTGGATTTGAAAGTGAGTTTCCTATCAACTGTGCCAACGTGACCCGCTAATTGCACAGAATCATTAAAACAATGATAAAAAAATAAATATAAACATTCATACCCCGGTAACTGCTCAAAATGGAGTAAATAAAATTATTTTGATAGAATCACTGATGTAGAACTTTGGGGAATACCCTTAACAAATTCCAATGAGGCAAGTGGTGAGGGTTTAGTCGTTAGATGCTCTCATTGGGCCCAAAGGCTGTAGGCTCAAATCCTCTGCCTCGAGATGGATTTAAAAAAAAAAAAGACCTTGGCTCCCAGGTAATCAGCCTAAAGTGAGTACCAGATAAAGTCCTGGAAGTAAAGGTGGCTAGAACAATACTGACCACATCACCCACCTAACGCTGATTAACGTATTCAATTTAGGCTTAGGACTGTATACCCAGAATGCCTCATGGCTTGGAAAAAGGGTCCTAATGCTAAAAGATTCTAATGCTGGGTAGAAGATGTATCCGATAATTCTGATGATAATAATAAAACAAGAATGGAACAACAGAAATAAAGGTTGATCAAAGAACACACAGAGGAGAGAATTACAGAGGTGAATAAGATAGGCTGGACATGGAGTGAGTTTCATGCTACGGTAAAAGATAAAAATATCATTAGACATTAGATTCAAACATGCCAACTCAAAATAATCACAATGTTTGTTGAAGGAACAACTCAAATCAAAAATCCCTGTGTTGGTTGTGGGGCACCATTTATGGGGATGGGGGGAAAGGGGGAAGAGAACATATCCACAGGCCGTCTAACAAGCAAGTTATAGGATGCGACTAATCTGTGGGAAGGGGGGGGGGGGTCTTCACAGTTGGAGTGAATCTGCCTGAGAGGGGAGTAACCAACAGTCTGCATTTAAAAAAAGCCAAAGTAAAATGCATGTGCACATTGAATTCAAGTTTGCATCAAGACCAAAGGTCAAAAGTAGAAAATCAGAACTTTACATTGGAGTTTACAGCAGTTGAGTATTAAGTAGAGGAAGAAAGAAAGAAATACAATATTTAAAATAAAAAAAATTAGTAAAGTGAATCGGCCGTATGGGAAGAGCACCCATATTTTTACAGACCAATCGGCACTAGATGGGTAATGTGGTCAGCATTACATCAGCCGTCTTTACTTCCCCAGGATATCCATCCTGGTACCCATTTTAGGCTGGGTGGACCTGCAACGCCCCATACCATGAAAAAAATCCACGCAGCCAGCAGTGGGTTTCGATCGCAGTATGTTGGAATTACAAGTCAGACTCACAACGCCTAAGCCACGGACACTGCATCAGGAATATTATGCTAGACTCATATTTTTACAGACCAACCTGGCACCTCACTGGGTGAAATGGTCAAAAATCAGACAGGCTGCCTTTAATCCTAAGACCTTATATGGTACCAATGTTAGGCTGCGCATACCTGCCAGTCAATGTCAATTTTGAAAAAAACTATTGTCTTTATTAATGGGGATTCAAACCCTAGAATTGCAGGCTGGCAAGTGAGCATCTAACCACTAAACTACCCACATTCCCAAAGCAACTATGTCCAAACTCATTAAAAAAATATATTAACACAGAACAACAACAAAATCAGTGAAAGTAATAACATAACTTCACGCTAACAGTGAAATTAGGACAAAATCAATACCAAATGTGAACTGCGGTTAACATTACTGTCATCAGTGAATGTTTATGTTACCTCTGTCCAGTGTAACCATCAATTCCATTATAACATCAGAGACTGAAAAAACAGGCTCAGAACTGTCAACAAGGCATATATAACACAGGGAGAGAGTGTGGGTCATGTGTGAAAGCATGTTTGTGTGTGCTGTGTGTGATTTGATTGCACAGATGCATGTGTACATGTGGTGTGGTGTGTGTGTGTGTGTGTTGGTGTATGTGTCCTCATATAGAGCCGTAAGTGTGCCCACGTGTACCGGTTAGGGCTGGTTTGTATCTTAGTTGCAAATTTTTTATAGAATGCCGCAACTGAAAAATAAAAGGATTTATTGGCTGTTTTGCGGGTTGATGTTTCAAAGAAGTCAATTTTATTAACATTCAATAGTTTGCTGTTGCTTTCTAAAGAGTTCTAAAAAACTGCTATTACTGCCTGTACTGACCACTTTTGTGGGGAAGGCGGACGGGGGCGGAGTCTAAGATGTAGGGCCGCATGGCTAATGTGGTTGCCATGGACTGTGCAGGTTAGGATTTTATATTTGCCACACACAGAAAAAAAATCTACATTCTTACCGAGGATTGGAACATGGGTCTCCTGCATGAACAAAGCTGCCAGCAACCTCCAGTTATATTTATGGTGTGGTTAATTTGTGCCTAGTGTTTTGGATAAGATATTCCAGGTTGGTGGCTTTGTGTTCCTAAATAGATAAATCGTCCACTCCTCCTTGTTTTGGTTTCAGTTGCAGGTCCTGTTATTCTTGGCTTCCATGCATTATCGTCTGTCTGGTTTAGTCTCCCTATTGTATTTAGCCCCTATGCACTATCAATGTGATCCTGAGTCAGTTTTGTCCTATTAATGATCCTTGCTGCTGTCTGTGCATCTCACAAGAGACTGAGCTATGCACTTCCCTACCCAAGACGTCAATTATATTCTTAGCCGAACTTCGTGCTGGTTGACCCCTGCCCCTCTACATGGTAACGTGCCTTGTGCTAATTTTTTTTTCTAATCCGCCAAGGTACTAGTGAGCGCTATGAATCTCCAAAATATATGCAGCTGCAAATCAAATAATGGAGGTCAAAACTAAACCCACAGCCTTAAGAGAATGAAGTAAATGACCCCCCCCTCTTGCCATAAGGATCCCCCCCCCCTCTTGCCATAAGGATCCCCCCCCCTCTTGCCATAAGGATCCCCCCCCCCCCTTGCCATAAGGATCCCCCCCCCCTCTTGCCATAAGGATCCCCCCACCCTCTTGCCATAAGGATCCCCCCCCCCTCTTGCCATAAGGATCCCCCCCCCTCTTGCCATAAGGATCCCCCCCCCCCCATATTTACATAATAAAAAAACAAGAATTCAAGAATGTAAATTTAGTGTAGGTGGAATTTGATATGAACAATGCTAATCTGATACGAAAAATGCTAGCTTACTTCGCTGAGCCTCACTACCTCTGGAATGTTTTCGTCTACCAACAGAAGTGGTGGAATGGCCAGGATGCGACAAGGCTGCATTTTCCTCATCTTTTTCATCTGCAAATAATGAGTATTCACAAAAGCATGTATATATGTATGTATGCATATGTATTTATGCATATATATGTATGTGTATGTGTGTGTGTATATATATATATATATATATATATATATATATATATATATATATATATATAGATATATATATAGAGAGAGAGAGAGAGAGAGAGAGAGAGAGAGAGAGAGAGAGAGAGAGAGAGAATGTGTTTAAAAAAGGTTAAAAAAATTACTTAATTTTTATTTTCTGAAATAAATGAGCAAATATAATTGAATGACACTGATTTACTATCTGTTAAAACTATCATGGGGTACAACAACCTCAAACTTAGTGGTGCTCAAATGATCTTCTGAGAAGGAAGACACTAGGAGCTTTTCTCTTTGCTATTTAAATGGCTGGAAAAAAATAATAATAAATGCTGGCAAGCAGCATGGCATCTCTTTAAATGTGGTAAACTGTATTTGTGATTTGAACGCCTTCACCACCTTCATTTAGAATTCTCTTTACATATTTTCATAGCAACTCAACATAAGCTTTCTGTCTCAATTTGACAACATTTACATTTTGTCTCAGGGACATTTCAACAACAACAACAAAAAAGATGGTCAGAGATGATACTGGAAAACAACTAGAGGTTAGTTAGATCATTTTCATGGCACATCAAAACAAACAATAAATAAAACTGAGATCCCTTTCTCAGTGTATCCCTCGGTGTGTCAGCTGGCAACACCAGTTCTGTGTTTTTTTTTCTCTTCTTCTTTGGCTTCCTGCAAAGTTCTCTTGTCTGTCCTCACCCTATACTTCATCTCTTCTTCTTTGGCTTTCTGCATAGTTCTCTTGTCCTCACCCTGGACTGCATCTCTTCTTCTTTGGCTTCCTGCATAGTTCTCTTGTCTGTCCTCACCCTATACTTCATCTCTTCTTCTTTGGCTTTCTGCATAGTTCTCTTGTCTGTCCTCACCCTGGACTGCATCTCTTCTTCTTTGGCTTTCTGCATAGTTCTATTGTCCATCCTCACCCTATACTACATCTCTTATTCTTTGGCTTCCTGCTTAGTTCTCTTGTCTGTCCTCACCCTAGACTACATCTCTTCTTCTTTGGCTTTCTGCATAGTTCTATTGTCTGTCCTTACCCTAGACTACATCTCTTCTTCTTTGGCTTCAAACACAGTTATATTGTCTGTCCTCACCCTATACTACATCTCTTCTTCTTTGGCTTTCTGCATAGTTCTATTGTCTATTCTCACCTTAGACTACATCTCTTCTTCTCTGGCTTCCTGCTTAGTTCTTAGTGCTTAGTCTGTGTTTATGTATATATGTTGTAAGTATGTAGGTGTATGTATGTGGATGTATGTGTGATTGTAAATGTGTGTATGTGTGATTGTGGGTGTGTGTGTATATTATGTATGCAAGTATGTATGTATACAGGTATGCATGTCTGTATGTATGTATGTGAGTATATGTATGCATGATTGTATATGTGTGTATACATGCATGTATATGTATCTATGTGTGTATGTATGCATGTTGGTGGATGTATGTATGCATATGTAGCTGTGAAAGTTTGTGGTTGTATATGTGTGTATTTTGGTATGTATGCAAGTTTGTATGTATGTGTGTAAGTATAGTGTATGTATAGATGTGTGTATGTCTGTACATATGTGTGTGTGTGATTGTATGTGAGTGTATTTTGGTGTCTTTATATGTGATTGTATGTGTGTGTATGCATGCATGCATGTGTAGGTATGTATGTATGTATGGAATGTGTGTGTGCAAGTATGTCTGTATGTATGTGTGTGTGTTTTATGTTTGTGCATGTATATCTATGTATGTATGTGTGTGTGTTTTATGTTTGTGTATGTATATAGATGCATGTATGTATGTATTACGTATGTCTGTATATGAGTGTGTATGTGCATGTATGAGAATGTAAGAGTATGTGTACATGTGTATGTGTGTTTGAGTGTGTAAGATTGTGTATACATGATGTGTGTATGCCTTATTCTATCACACATATTTCTTTATTATATCCATAACATGCATTATTGATAACAGGATTGGTACTCTGAAAGATGAGTGCTTAGAAGGGCCAAATGTCAGACGGGCCTGCGTGCCCAATGTGTAACCCTTTTAAAATAAAGTGTGTTTGTTCATTCGTTCTCTTGTCTGTCCTTATCCTAGACAACATTTCTTCTTCTTTGGCTTCCTGCATTATTCTTTTGTCTGTCCTTACCCTAGTATACATTTCTTCTTCTGTCTTCTACCCTCTCAACAAAGCATATGCTCTCAGCTAACTAATACCAAATCATCCCATCTTTTGCCAATGCAAGCAACTCGGTCAACATATCACCGATCATATTAACCTCTGTCTTTAATATTATCTTTTTCAGGTGTTTCTAATCTCCCGTCTTCTTCTTCTTCTTTTCTTCTTCTTCTTCTTCTTCTTCTTCTTCTTCTTCTTCTTCTTCTTCTTAGCAGTCACGGGCTGTAAATTCTAGTGGAAAGTTTTGTCTTTTTTCCAGAGCTTAAGTGTTGCAAGCACATTCATTTTACAGATCTTATTTATTTTTATGCAGACTAATGGCTCTTCACATCTTAGGTAGGTGGACTTTAAAGGATACACAACTAATAAGTTGATTTTTACAAAATGTCTTTTAGGAAAGCAGTGGGTCTATTCTTCCCCCCCCCCCCCCCCCAAAATGAGCTAAGGAACACACACAGGAAGATCTCCCATTATTTCTTTGTCCTGTGGGTTTCACTGCAAGGACATTCTAGACAAGTAATTTTCAGGTTTTCTCATTGTTTGTTCCATCCAGCATCAATGCTTTTTTTACCCTCCTTTCTTAATTTAAAAAAAAAAAAAATTTTCTTTTTTAAAGTTTTATCCCCATTTATTCTCTGCAGGTACAAGTTAATGAATAAATGTAGCTTGTTAGTAATTGTTAATGTTATTTTCCATGTTTCTGGTGTATACAGACTTTAACAGCTGGTTGATTTTTACAGTTACAGCCAGTTACAAGATGAGACAACAAATCCAAATACTCTTACATCATGCCTGTTAGGGTGATATTACAATTCACTGTGGCCCCTAATGGCTCTTGTAACACATCAACAATGCTGGACTTAAAATAAATAATACCGATACTTTAACCAGCAAGAAAGCAATCAAAAATCAGTCCCCCCCCACCCCTTTTTCTCACAAACCCCGCAATGAGCTCTAACATATTAAAGATGACAGAAACACAGAAAGAGGTCACCCCTAAAAAGTAACTGACTTTTCGAATTTGAGAATGTGACTACCACCAGAAATGAAGCATCTGTATCTTCTTAACCTGATGCTGAATGATAAAAAAAAAAAGATGAAGGAGCGATTGGACTAGCACCTTTCCATCTTTCCATCTTGACTAGCAAAACCTGTTCACATTAAGAAAACTCTTCCACAATTATAGCATGGAATTTCTACACCATTGTAGTAAAAATTTGTATTTTGTATGTTTCTTCTCAAATGCTCAGCTCTCATCCTTTCTGCAGTCATGTCTTCCTTCATTCTCATTCCCTTTCTAATGTGCTCCCTCCACACAACACAGTTTACGGCATTTTGTTCGCTCAAGTCCACCTCAATACCTGTATCATTCATGTAATGTCCCGCTTGCACATATCTTTATATTGTAGTAGCGGTCAGCCTCAACATCTTCTACCGATCTGTAATTCACCAAAGAAGATGTCCCTAGGGATTCTGCCGTCCTCCATTCTCCAGGTGTGACCCAGCCACCTGAGCTCTCATAGACTGAGCATTGAGAAAACTTGTAATACCTGCTCTTTCCAATACCTCAGCATTTGTGATCTCATCCTGCCACTTAATGCCAAGTATTTTTTCTTAGGCATCGCATGTGAAAGCTATTTAACCGTCTTTTCATGGTGTGAATTGGTTAACCAAGTTTCACTGTCTTAAAGCACAGTACTGAGAACAAAAACCTCACAGACAAAAGTTTATGTTTTAATCATGAGCTTTCTGTTCTCCCAAACTCTTTTTGTTTTATCTGCTCATTGTTGTTGCTGCCTTACCTATCCTGATGTTATTTCTTGGTCCAGTGAAGTTACAGGGATGAAGAAGCACAAGCACCTAAAATTATATTGTGCCTGTAAATATCAGAAAATGTTTCCTATACAACTTTATTGGTGTTGCTCACTGACACCTTTAGAATAGTATATCTCTAGCAAGCATGTCATAAAAGGCAACTAATTAAGGGTTTGAAGGGTTTGCTGAAACATATCAGGTGGGCCCACAGGCATATATATATATATATATATATATATATTGCAGCCTAGCTGTAAATTACCACACAATGTGTCAACCTCCTTTTAGGGCAAAATACAGAAAAAGAACAAATGAATGAATGAATGATTTTTATTTTTGAAGGGTCACAAATTGGACACGCAAGCCCGTCTTAAATTCAGCCCTTCTAAACACGCTTCTTTCACACAGCAGTTGTATTTTATCAATAAATCATGTTACATTCACATAATAATATGCATATTAGGAATATCAAAAAGGACGATGAGGAAAAAAAGGATGAAGAGCTGAGAGAAAATATTGCTAAGCTGGCATTGCAAACCACCCATACAGTTGCACTAATTTATATAAATACATATATGGCTTAGGACAGTGGCATGAAGGAATATCATCAGTGGAATTGATATAGAACACCAAAGACAGAGATCTGTGGAGATGCATGAACACCTACGCCAGCTGGCAAGGCACTTGACCATGATGATATAAATATATATATATATATAGTTCTGTTTCTATAAGGCAGTTAAAATATCAGACAATACCTTTATCCTTTACACTGACATCCGGAGAAGGCTCAGCATCAGTGATAGTTGTCTCAGCTAGTGGTATTGGAAGCTTAAAGTAGGGATAAGGATCATCCCAAGGGATAGGCTGCTGTGGAAGCCCTTCTTTTGCATTTTGCAGTGGGAAGCCATTGCGGTCACAT